AACTCTGCCTCTACTAAAAATACAAAAATTAGCCAGGTGTGGTGGTGGGTGCCTGTAATCCCAGCTACTTGAGAGGCAGAACTGCTCGAACCCAGGAAGGGGAGGTTGCAGTGAGCTGAGATCACGCCACTGCACTCCAGCCTGAGCAACAGAGCAAGACTCATCTCAAAAAAAAAAAAAACTGCCATAAAAATCTCTATCACACTCAGTGGCTCACACCTGTAATCCCAGCACTTTGGGAGGCCTATGCGGGCAGATCACCTGAGGTCAAGGGCTCAAGACCAGCCTGGCCAACATGGTTAAATCCCATCTCTACTAAAAATACAAACATTGGCCAGGCGCAGCAGTAGGCAACTGTAATCCCAGCTACTTGGGAGGCTGAGGCAGGAGAACTGATTGACCCCGGAGGCAGAGGATGCAGTGAGCCAAGATCACAGCACTGCACTCCAGCCTAAGCGAGACTCCATCTCAAAAAAAAAAATAAAAAAAATAAACTCTATCACAGAAATAGAATAGATCAAGTAATAATCCTGGCATTACTTTGTTTGAAAGTAATATACACCAAATGCAATCTGTAACTAGTAGGACACCATTAAAATGTATAATGCACTACTACTGTTAAGAAAGAAGTTGTTCTTGGTTTTTTTTTTTTTTTTTTTTGGAGACAGTCTGGCTCTGTTGTCCAGGCTGGAGTGCAGTGGCTCGATCTCAGCTCACTGCAACCTTCACCCCTAGGGTTCAAGCAATTCTCCTGCCTCAGCTTCCCAAGTAGCTGGGATTACAGGCATGCGCCACCATGCCCAGCTAATTCTTTTGTATTTTTATTTATTTATTTATTTATTTTGAGATGGAGTTTCGCTCTTGTTACCCAGGCTGGAGTGCAATGGTGCGATCTCGGTTCCCCGCAACCTCCGCCTCCTGGGTTCAGGCAATTCTCCTGCCTCAGCCTCCTGAATAGCTGGGATTACAGGCACGCGCCACAGTGCCCAGCTAATTTTTTGTATTTTTAGTAGAGACGGGGTTTCACCATGTTGACCAGGATGGTCTCGATCTTTTGACCTTGTGACCCACCCCGCCCAGCCCCTTTTGTATTTTTAATAGAGACGGGGTTTCACCATACTGGTCAGGCTGATCTCAAACTCCTGACCTTGTGAACTGCCCACCTCAGCTTCCCAAAGTGCTGAGATTACAGGCCTGAGCCACCACGCCTGGCCCAAGAAAAAAGTTTTTAGCATCCAACTCTAGTCAGTCTTTAGCTCCTCAAAGAATCAAGATATTTAGCCTTTTATCCTTCCTCAAAATAGAGAAATTAACCAAATACTTCAATATTACAGTACTCTAAGAGCTCCAAAAAAGCCTCCTACATCTGTATAGCAAAAGTAAAGAAGAAAAACAGGAAGCAAGTCAAAAAGGTCTCCGATCAGCCAAGGAAACCACACAGTTCACAGAGCACATGAAGCCCTCTCAGTCAAGAGCCTACTGGATCTTATTTTAGTCACAATTTTAATAAGCTCTGTGATCTGGTTTCTTAGCCCACAACAGATGAGATGCAGCCAACTGGAAAAGGGCTGGGGGTGGTGCTGCTAGAGGCAGGCACTCAAAGCATCAAAATCAAAGCTTAAGACCTAAAAAGTCAGCAGAAAACCTCAAAACATAGCAGGGTGGGGCCATGTGGTGTAGACACAAACAATCCCAAAGGATCCCAATCCCTGCCCAGAACTACAAAGAATGTTCATAATGACTCTCTTTGCTATGCTCTCTGCTTATAGCATAGGTCAGGGGACCTAAAGACGTGTATCAAAATAAAAGTCCACTGGCCAGGCGCGGCAGCTCATGCCTGTAATCCCAGCACTTTGGGAGGCCAAGGTGGCTGAATCACCTAACGTCAGGAGTTCAAGACCAGCCTGGACAACATGGCAAAACCCTGTCTCTACTAAAAGTATAAAAATTAGCCAGGCATGGTGGTGGGCACCTATAATCCCAGCTACTCAGGAGGCTGAGGCAGGAGAATCACTTGAACCCAGGAGGCAGAGGTTGCAGTGAGCCAACATAGTGCCACTGCACTCCAGCTTGAGCGACAAGCACAAAACTCCGTCTCAAAAAGATAAATAATAATAAATAAAGTCCATCAAAAGCTTTTTCCAAAAAGACATGGCATTTTAAAGACTGCCAAATTCACAGACATGAATAGTGTACCTCTGTCAAAAAATACTGAATTCTTGAAGATGTCACCTGTCAAATGTATTTTTTCTTAGAAAAATTTTATTAGAACCCAGACACAGCAAAGAATTATTTTTTCAGGAAATGATAACTGGGAAGGTTCAAGACCAAGATCAATTACAGAAGCCAAGCAGTGGGGATTCCTACATTACTCAGACTGAAGATAGAACTGATCTCAGCCGGACACAGTGGCTCATGCCTGTAACCCCAATAATTTGGGAGGTCAAGGCAGGCGGATTATCTGAGGTCAGGAGTTCAAGAGCAGCCTGGCCAACGTGGCGAAACCCTGTCTTAAAAAAAAAAAAAAAAAATTAGTCAGGGGTGGTGATGTGTGCCTGTAATCCCAGCTACTCAGGCGGCTGAGGCAGGAGAATCACTTAAACTCAGGAGGCAGAGGTTGCAATGAGTTAAGACAGCACCATTGCACTCTAGGCTGGGTGATAAGACTGAAACTCCGTCCCAAAAAAAAAAAAAGGTTCAAATTATTTCTAAACTTGATTTTATTAAAAAGATCTTATGAACGAATATTTTAGAGAAAATTTAGTCTAGAAAACATGTAGCAACTAATTAGAAACCATATTATGAGGGCAAGTATTACTAGATTAAAATGTATGTTTTGTGCCGAAGTGCTAATCCCCTCTCTGAAGAAGTCCATTACACACATAAATCAATGTAGAAATTAAAGGCTACATTTCTTTATCCGTAAATTTTCACACATTATCCCCACTTACTCCTCTCTCAGGTTTTAAAATAAGAGCACAATCTTCTACAGGTATTTGATAACTTCCCAATTAGATTCTATAAGAACCTCGCAAGTCCTAAAAGCCTTAAAAATACCTATGTATATATTTTATTTGGATGACTATTTCTCAGTGTGCTCCCATCCCTTAAATGGCTCTTTAAGAAATCTTTGGCCAGCACAGTGGCTCAAGCCTGTAATCTCAGCACTCTGGGAGGCCAACATGGGCAGATCACCTGAGGTCAGGAGTTCAAGACCAGCCTGGCCAACACGGTGAAACCTCATCTCTACTAAAAATACAAAAATTAGCCAGGCGTGGTGGCAGGCACCTGTAATCCCTGCTACTCAGGAGGCTGAGACGGGAGAATCTCTTGAAGCCAGGAAGCAGAGGTTGCAGTGAGCCGAGATTGCACCATTGCACTCCAGCCTGAGAAACAAGAGCGAGACTTCGTCTTAAAAAAGAAATCTTTGCTTAAGGTTCAAGTTTCTTTTAATACCATTTCATTTTAGTACAACATTTATTGCCTAAAATCTGCCCTTTTTGTTAGAAATCAAAGAAAGAAGTTGGTAAGGAGCTAACCTAATTATAGTAACCAATGGAACTGATTCCACACTAAAAGTCTTTGATCAAAAATGAAATGAGGACCAACTGCTAAATTAGGGTGTTTAAATCATCAATCTGTATTCTGACTTAGTTTTAGGCAAGGTGAAAACTGGTTCTCTTCTTCTTGCATCCCCATTCCATCATTCAGAATAGATAATCCCAGTACCTACTTCTCACTAAGTAGCTACAGGTACAGGCCATGTGCTGTGGCTGATGCCTATAATCCCAACACTTAGGGAGGCAGAGGTGAGAGGCTTGACACCAGCCTGGGCCACACAGCAAGATCCCGTTCTCCACAAAAAGGAAAAAGATGTACTAAAGAAAAAAACAGTTATTGGTTTAATATAGCCAATCTGAGTAGCCAAGTGAAACATCAAACAGAAATGAACAGTGGTGCCTCCCTACTTCTAAGAAAAAATCCACAACATTAGCACTAAGAGAGGGTTAAAAAACTAAATTTCAAGCCAAGCTTATACGCTAGGTGTATTATTAGGAAAACCTCCTTATCGATAACTAAATAATCCTTTGCTTTAAAGAGCAGAGAAATCCTTTTTGATACAAAATCTAGTAAAACCCTTTTCCAATTAAGAGTCTTCCTAAACATATCACCCAATACAGCGTTAAGTCCATTTTGCGAAGAGACTGTGAAAGGAACTTTCGTGTACTTTATCTGGTGATTTTCAATGTTCAGGTTTCTTCCTCTACCTTTGCCAATGTACAGCTTTTCTATTAGATCCAATCCTGCAAAACGGAAGTGTTAGTTTCTAACTACATATAGCAACCTCAAGAAACAAAATGATTCTCCCTCTACTTCCCTCCTCCCGCATAAGTCACGGTTTTTGTTTGTTTTTTCTTTCTGAACTTCCAACTCTTAACAGTTTCTGGACAAGCAGGATGGACCGATGTGTGCTGCCACCCAAGAGGTGAGTGAACAACTCAAGAGATACTTGTGGATCAGGCAAAACGGCTTCCTCTGCCTGCCCGAGCTCAGGCGGTTTTATGGAGGGAGCTAGGGCAGATACGGGAGGAGGGAACAGGAATGGGACGAGAAGCCCTTTCGACCTCTGTCGAAGGGGCCGCCCAACGCCCCAGCGCCCCTCACGGACCCAACCCCGCCATCCTGGCTGGACAATGGCCTTCAAGCGCAGCGGCAGTCCCAGACTGGAGAGAAGCCCTGGGAGTCCACACCATGCGGGCCTGGAAGGGCAGAAGGGGAGCAACGCTGAGGCCGCGAGAGCACCTCCGGCCTAAGCGCGGTCTGCGCGCCGTGGCCTCCACGGGCGCCATCACTGGGAGTGGGGTATGGAGGCCTCCCCGCGGGGCCAGCACCTGCAGGGGGATCCAAGGAGGCCGCGAGCCCGGCGGAGACGACGGCGGGCAGTGCAGGCCACAGCCTGCTCAGTCCGCCAGCCCCGCAGCCTACCTCCGGCCCCTTACCTTGTGGATTCTCTTCAGAGCCATGGTGGGAGGCGGGTGGCGGCGGCCCCCGGGGCGGGGACGGGGGCGGGGAAGGGACGGGGAAGGGGCTAGGGAGCCTGAGGCCGCCTCGGCGATCGCGCTCGGCCGGAGAAGATGGAGAGTTCAGGAGAGCGGGTCCGGCGGGACTGGCTGAGGGCCGGGGCCCACTCCGCTCCTAGGCCTGCCGCAGCGGTCACCGCATCACCCGGCGGCGGCCCCTTTATTCGCTGCCGCCCCAGCCGCCGCCGCCGCCGCCGTAGCTGTTTCTTCCTCCCAGGATCAGCGCCGCCTCCTCAGCCGCCGCAGATCCCTCCGCCGGGAAGCAAAAGCCCAAACCTCGGGCTCAGCCGGCGCCTCTCAGTTGGACAGCCAGAGGGACTGCCTGCCTTCCTGCCTGCTTTCCTGCTTGCCTGCTGCAGGTGGACCGAGGGACGCGCGGGCGTGCGGGCGGCACCGCCGGGGTGGGGCCGCCGGAGCACGGGGTGGGCCTGGCCGAGGGGCAGGTCGGGAGGCGCGGGGATTGGCGGGCCAGGGGAGGGAGGGCCGAGCCGCGCCGGCGGCGGAGGGATATGGGCCGCCCCTGTGAGTAAGCTACGCGCTGCCGCCGCCGCCGCCGCGGCCACCGCCACCGCCACCGCCACCGCCACCGCCACGGCCGCGGAGGGGATGACGCTGCGAAGCGCTGTGAAGAGATATCGCGAGATCCAGAGCGCGGGTTCTGCAGGCTCCCGCGCTGCGACCCTTAGGTTCCTTACTGATGGGGAACCCCCGCGCCTGTCACAAAAGATCAATAAACATTAAAAGGCAAATGTCCAGATCGCACGACCGTCCCCGTACCAGTCCCAGGAAGAGGCACTTCGGCCCACTGCAACGTTCCTAAAGGAAGAAGGGACTTGGCCAAGGTCACACAGCTCTTCTGAAGTCCTGGGACTTAACAGCTCTCTTTCCAGAGGCCACGTGGCTACAGCTCGGGCACCCACCACGTGCCGCGCGGGTTGCAGTAAGATTGGCCTTCCGGACCAAAGCCCCAAATGGAGAAGATTTGAATGTTGTGTTCTTCTCAGCCACTGGCATGCCTGCCTGGGAGGTGCCCAGACCCTACTCAGCTTAGTGAATTGCGAATTGTTACAAGCAAGCGCTGTACCTGCTGCGTCAGAAAAAAAAGATCACAGTGTGTGCCCCAATAGTTAAAACCCGCCGGGTTTATATTCCGGGATTATATCCCAGAACTTTCGGAGGCCGAGGCTGGTGGATGACCTAAAGTCAGGAGTTCGAGACCAGCCTGGCCAACATGGTGAAACCCTGTCTGTACTAAAAAATACAAAAATCAGCCAGGTATAGAGGCGGGCGCCTGTATACCCAGCTACTGGGGAGGCTGACGCAGGAGAATCGCTTGAACCCGGGAGGCAGAGGTTGCAGTGAGCCGAGATCATGCCATTGCACTCCAGCCTGGGCGACAAGAGGAAAACTCCATTTGAAAAAAACAAACAAAAAACCCTCGTGCTCCAGATAGCCATCAGGAGGGTCCACTATAATCAAACCTAGAATATGTGGAGTTGTTTTTTTAGGAGATGGAGACAAAAAGCTAATTTACTGAGCACCTACTCTGTGCCCAGTCCTGCACCATGAGTGGTGTGAGACAGGGAGCCAAGACGGCTGGACTGTGCTTACAGTCCAGGAGACTGTCTCCTGTCTTACTTACACAGGAGAATAGTAAGGAATTTTTTGCCGGAAGGTAATGCCCACATTCTGAAATCTACCCCTGGCGTTTTCTGATTCTTATTTTTTTTTTTTTGAGACGGAGTTTTGCTCTTGTTACCCAGACTGGAGTGCAATGGCGCCATCTCGGCTCACCGCAACCTCCGCCTCCTGGGTTCAGGCAATTCTCCCTCAGCCTCCTGAGTAGCTGGGATTACAGGCACACACCACCATACCCAGCTAATTTTTTTGTGTTTTTAGTAGAGACGGGGTTTCACAATGTTGACCAGGATGGTCTCAAACTCTTGACCTCGTGATCCACCCGCCTCGGCCTCCCAAAGTCCTGGGATTACAGGCGTGAGCCACCGCGCCCGGCCCTAATTCTAAATGTCTCCCTTCTGCTACATTCAGAATAGACTTTACTCCTGAATTTATAGAGAAGAAAAAACTGAAGCCCAACTAAGGGAAGGATCTTGCCAAAAGTCATACACAGTAGGTGAGCGGCAAAGCTCATACTGCCTCATCTACTAAGAAGGTTGGACCATTAGGGCAGAACCAACGTGCACCCAGTGAGAGAAAATTGTATCCAGTGCTGCAGGTGGGTACGGTTGAGGCTGGGGGTAAAGTGGAACATTCCACAGTCCCAGATATTTTCTTCCTAAGAAATGTGATGGGAGGGGTACAAAAACATCTACTGCAGAGATTTTTATTTATTTATTCTCAACAATAACTTTTGTATTAGAAAAGCTGCTGGACACACCTGTAATCTCAGTACTTTGGGAGATTGAGCTGGGAAGATCACTTGAGCTCAGGAGTTCCACACCAGCCTGGGCAACATAGTGGGAACTCATCTCTATAGAAGATTGTAAAAATTAGCCAAGCATGGTAGCGCACACCTGTGGTCCCAGCCACTTGGGAGGCTGAGGTGGGAGGATAGCTTGAGCCTCGGTGGTCGAAACTGCGGTGAGCTGTGATGATGCCACTGCGCCCCAGCTGGGGTGACAGAGCAAGATCCTGTCTTTAAAAAAAGGAATACAGGGCCAGGCGCAGTGGCTCACGCCTGTAATCCCGGCACTTTGGGAGGCCGAGGTGGGTGGATCACGAGGTCAAGAGATCGAGACCATCCTGGTCAACATGGTGAAACCCCATCTCTACTAAAAATACAAAAAATTAGCTGGGCATGGTGGCGCGTGCCTGTAATCCCAGCTACGCAGGAGGCTGAGGCAGGAGAATTGCCTGAACCCAGGAGGCGGAGATTGCGGTGAGCCGAGATCGTGCCATTGCACTCAATCCTGGGTAACAACAGCGAAACTCCATCTAAAAAAAAAAAAAAAAATTAGAGATGGAGTTTCACCATGTTAGCCAGGATGGTCTTAATCTCCTGACCTCATGATCTGCCTGCCTCAGCCTCTCAAAGTGCTGGGATTACAGGCGTGAGCCACAGCCCTTGGCTTTTTTTTTTTTTTTTTTTTTTTTTTGAGACAGTCTCACTCTGTTGTGCAGGCTGGAGTGCAGTGGCATGGTCTCGGCTTACTGCCACCTCTGCCCCGTGGTTTCAAGCGATTCTCTTGCATCAGCCTCCTGAGTAGCTGGGATTACAGGTGCTTGCCACCATGCCCTGCTAATTTTTGTATTTTTTAGTAGACATGGGGTTTTACTATGTTGGTCAGTCTGGTCTCAAACTCCCGACCTCAGGTGATCTGCCTGCCACCACCTCCCAAAGTGCTGGGATTACAGGCGTGAGCCACTGCACCCTGCCTGTCTCTCATTTTTTACTATTAAAATAATGCTGTGGTAAATATCTTAGATATCCAGAATTTCATCTTTTTTCTTTTCTTTTCTTTTTTTTTTTTTTTTTTTTGAGACGGAGTCTCGCTCTTGTTACCCAGGCTGGAGTGCAATGGCGCCATCTCAGCTCACTGCAACCTCCACCTCCTGGGTTCAGGCAATTCTCCTGCCTCAGCCTCCTGAGTAGCTGGGATTACAGGCACGTGACACCATGCCCAGCTAATTTTTTGTATTTTTAGTGGAGACGGGGTTCCACCATGTTGACCAGGATAGTCTTGATCTCTTGACCTCGTGATCCACCCGCCTCGGCCTCCCAAAGTGCTGGGATTACAGGCTTGAGCCACCGCGCCCAGCCTTTTTTCTTTTTCTTTTTTTTTTTTTCCTTGAGATGGGGTTCCTTTCTCCCTCTCAGGCTGTACTGCAGTGGCACACATCAGCCCCCAACTCCTGGCTCAAGTGATCCTCCCACGTCAACCCCCTGAGTAGCTGGAACTACAAGCTGGAGCCACCATGCCTGTTTAATTTGTATGTATTATTTTTTGTAGAAACGGTCTTTTTTTTTTTTTTTTTTTAATCCATAGGACTCTCCTTGATAAACAGACTCTTAATCTTTATGCAGCTCTCAGAGTGATTTAGGATAAACTCCTAGGAATGAAATTGCTGCATCAACAGATATGCAATTTTTGCATCTGTGTTCATGAAGGATATTGGTTGTTTGTTTGGACTCTCCCTCTGTTGTCCAGCCTGGAGGACAGTGGATCTGGCTCACTGCAATCTCTGCCTCCAGGTTCAAGCAATTCTTCCTCAATCTCCCAAGTAACTGAGACTATAGGTGTGCACTACCATGCCTGGCTAATTTTTTTGTTTTTAAGTAGAGACAGGTGTGAGCCACCACTCACAGATGGGATATAGTTTTCTTTTTTTGTAATTTTTTTTTTGAGACGAAGTTTCGCTCTTGTGGCCCATGCTGGAGTGCAATGGCGCGATCTCGGCTCACCGCAACCTCCGCCTTCTGGGTTCAAACAATTGTCCTGCCTCAGCCTCCTGAGTAGCTGGGACTACAGGCGCACGCCACCATGCCCAGCTAATTTTTGTATTATTATTAGAGACGAGGTTTCACCATGTTGACCAGGATGGTCTCGATCTCTTGACCTCGTGATCCACCCGCCTCGGCCTCCCAAAGTGCTGGGATTATAGGTGTAAGCCACCGTGCCCAGCCTTTTTGTAATATCTTTACCAAATTTTTATATCAAGTTTATGCTGATCTCATAAAATAATTGGGAAGTGTGGTCTCCTCTGTGTTCTGAAAGAGTTTGCATAGGATTGCTATTTTATTTTCTTTCTTAAATAAATATTAGTTAGAATTCACCAATGTAGCTATCTGGCCTTGGAGTTTTCTTTGAGGAAAGAATTTTATAATAAATTCTTTTTTTTTTTTTTTTTTGAGACGGAGTTTCCGCTCTTGTTACCCAGGCTGGAGTGCAATGGCACGACCTTGGCTCACTGCAACCTCCGCCTCCTGGGTTCAGGCAATTCTCCTGCCTCAGCATCCTGAGTAGCTGGGATTACAGGCACACGCCACCATGCCCAGCTAATTTTTTGTATTTTTAGTGGAGACGGGGTTCCACCATGTTGACCAGGATAGTCTTGATCTCTTGACCTCGTGATCCACCCGCCTCAGCCTCCCAAAGTGCTGGGATTACAGGCTTGAGCCACCGCACCCGGCCTAATAAATTCATTTTTAAAAAAAAGAAGTATGGGGCTGGGTAGGGTGGCTCATGCCTATGATCCTAGCACTTTGGGAGGCTGAGGCTGGCGGATCAACTGAGGTCAGGAGTTCAAAACAGGCCTGGCCTACATGGTGAAACCTGTCTCTACTAAAAATAATACACAATTAGCCAAGTGTAGTGGCGGATGCCTTCAATACTAGCTACTTGGGAGGCTGGAGCAGGAGAATCACTTGAACTCGGGAGGTGGAGGTTGCAGTGAGCCAAGATTGCACTATTGCACTTCAGCCTGGGCAACAAAAGCGAAACTCAGTCTCAAAAAAAAAAAAAAGGTTGCCGGGCACAGTGGCTCACACCTATAATCCTAGCACTTTGGGAGGCTGAGGCAGGCAGATCACAAGGTCAGGAGTTCGAGATCTACCTGGCCAACATGACAAAACCCCATCTCTACTAAAAATACAAAAATTAAGTCCAGCCGAGGTGGCTCACACCTGTAATCCCAGCACTTTGGGAGGATGAGGTGGGTGGATCACAAGGTCAGGAGTTCAAGATCAGCCTCACCAAGATGGTGAAGCCCCGTCTCTACTAAAAACAAAATACAAAAATTAGCTGGGCGAGGTGGCAGATGCCTGTAATCTCAGCTGCTCAGGAGGCTGAGGCAGGAGAATCACTTGAACCCAGGAGGCAGAGCTGAGATGCGCCACTGCACTCCAGCCTGGGCAACAAGAGCAAAATTCCATCTCAAAAAAAAAAAAAATGGTATGGGCCGGACGTGGTGGCTCATGCCTATAATCCCAGCACTTTGGGAGGCTGAGGTGGGTGGATCACGAAGTCAAGAGATGGAGACCATCCTGGCCAATATGGTGAAACCCCGTCTCTACTAAAAATACAAAAATTAGCCAGGCGTGGTGGCATACACCTGTGGTTCCAGCTACTCAGGAGGCTGAGGCAGAAGAATCGCTTGAACCCAGGAGACGGAGGTTGCAGTGAGCTGAGATTGCGCCTCTGCAGTCCAGCCTGGTGACAGAGCAAGACTCTGTCTCAAAAAAAAAAAAAAAGTATGGCACTATTTAGATTTTCTTTTCTTTTTTTTGAAACGGAGCTTCACTGATGTTACCCAGACTGGAGTGCGATGGCATGATCTCGGCTCACCGCAACCTCCGCCTCCTGGGTTCATGCAATTCTCCTGCCTCAGCCTCCCAAGTGTCTGGGACTACAGGCGTGCACCACCATGCCCAGCTAATTTTTGTATTTTTAGTAGAGACGGGGTTTCACCTTGTTGACCAGGATGGTCTCGATCTCTTGACCTCGTGATCCACCCGCCTCAGCCTCCCAAAGTGCTGGGATTATAGGCATGAGCCACCACGCCCGGCTAGATTTTCTTTTTCTTCTTGTGTCAATTGTGATAATTGGTGGATTATTGTGTTTTTTTTTTCCTCAAGGAAATTCAAGTTAGGCTGAGTACAGTGACTCACACCTTTAATCCCAACACTTTGGGTGGATCACTTGACCTCAGGAGTTCGAGACCAGCCTGGGCAGTGAAACCCAGCCTCTACAAAAAATACAAAAATTAGCCAGGTGTGGTGATATGCCCCTGTAATCCCAGGTACTTCAGGGGCTGAGGCAGGAAAATCACTTGAACCTGGGAGGCCGAGAGATTGTGCCATTGCATTTCAGCCTGGGTGACAGAGTGAGACCCTGTCTCAGAAAAGAAAAAGGAAATGCAAGTTAAAGTCACAATGAGAGACTGGTATGAATGGTGTGGTGTTAACAACTAATTGATCACAACCAATTACAGATTTCTTTGTTCCTTCTCCTACCCACTATTTCCCCTGACTAGACTTTAAAAAAAAAATCACAATGAGCCAGGCACGGTGGCACATGCCTGTAGTCCCAGCTACTCGGGAGGCTGAGGTGGGAGGATCGCCTGAGCCCAGGAGTTCTGGGCTGTAGTGCGCTATGCCGATTGGGTGTCCACACTAAGTTTGGCATCAATATGGTGACCTCCTGGGAGCAGGGGACCACCAGGTTACCTAAGGAGGGGTGAACCGGCCCAGTTCGGAAACAGAGCAGGTCAAAGCTCCCATGCTGATCAGTCATGGGATTGCGCCTGTGAATAGCCACTGCACTCCAGCCTGGGCAACATAGTGAGACCCCATCTCTTAAAAAAATAAAAAATAGGCCGGGCGCGGTGGCTCACACCTGTAATCCCAGCACTTTGGGAGGCTGAGGCGGGTGGATCACAAGGTCAAGAGATCGAGACCATCCTGGTCAACATGGTGAAACCCCGTCTCTACTAAAAATACAAAAAAAATTAGCTGGGCATGGTGGCATGTACCTGTAGTCCCAGCTACTCAGGAGGCTGAGGGAGGAGAATTGCCTGAACCCAGGAGGCAGAGGCTGTGGTGAGCTGAGATCGCACCATTGCACTCCAGCCTGGGTAACAAGAGCGAAACTCCGTCTCAAAAAAATAAAATAAATAAATAAATACATAAAAAGAAATCATGATGAGATACCATTTCACACCCAGTAGAATGGCTAAAATAATAAACGTTGACAGCCATAAGTGGTGACAAAGATGTACAGCAATTGGAACTCTCATAAATTGCAAGTGGGAGTGTAAAATGGTATAACCAGTTGGAGAATTGTTTGGTTATTTCTTATTAAGTTAAACTTGGATCTACCATATCACCCCACAATTCTACTCTTTGGTAAGCAAGAAAAATGAAAATATATGTCTCCAAAAAGACTTATACACAAATATTTATAGCAGTCTTTTTGTATATAGTCCAAAACTGGAGAAAGCCCAAATATCCTTCCACAGGAGGATGGAATAACACATTATGACACATTCAAACAATGGAACACTGCTTAACACCAACAACAGGACAAACTATTGATACACTCAACAACATGGGTAGATCTCAGAATGATAAGCAAAAGGAAAACAATATGGGCTGTATGATTCCATTTATATGAACTTCAAAAACAGAAAAAACTAATTTTTGTTGTGTAAACTCAGGAAGTGACTTTGGGGAGATGATTTGTCAGGAAAGGAATCGATCAGAGACCAGGCACAGTGGCATGTGCATGTAGTCCCAGCCACTCAGGAGACTGAGGTGGGAGGATCACCTGTGCCCAGGAGTTGGAAGCCAGTCTAGGCAACATAATGAGACCCCATTCTCAGTATTATTCTGCCTGCATGAGTCTTTTAAAAAAAAAAACCAGCCAGGCGTGGTGGCTCACACCTGTAATCCAAGCACTTTGGAGGCCAAGGCGGGGGCAGATCACCTGAGGTCGGGAGTTCAAGACCAGCCTGACCAACATGGTGAAACCTTGTCTTTATATATATATTTTTTAAAAAGCCATTAAAGAAATGTTCTGGGGTAAGGAAAATGTTCTGTATATTGTTTTGTTTGGAGGTTATACAAGTTCATACAATTGTCAAAACTCATGGAACCTTGGCTGGGGGAGTGGTGGATTATTCCTATAATCTCAGCACTTTGGGAGGCTAAGGTGGACAGATCACCTGAAGACAGAAGTTTGAGACCAGCCTGGCCAACATGATCTCTACTAAAACTACAAAAATCAGCCAGGCATGGTGGCAGGTGGCACCTGTAGTCCCATCTACTTAGAAGGTTGAGGCACGACAATTGCTTGAACATGGGAGGCAGAGGTTGTGGGGAGCTGAGATCGCACCACTGCACTCCAGCCTGTATGACAGAGTAAAACTCCATCTCAGCCGGGCGTGATGGCTCAACGCCTGTAATCTCAGCACTTTGGGAGGCCAAGGCAGGCGGATCACCTGAGGTCGGGAGTTTGAGACCAGCCTGGCCAACATGGAGAAACCCCGTCTCTAGTAAAAAATACAAAATTAGCCAGGCATGGTGGCAGATGCCTGTAATCCCAGCTACGCTACTCAGGAGGCTGAGACAGGAGATTTGCTTGAACTCAGGAGGCAGAGGTTGCAGTGAGCCGGGATCGCGCCATTGCACTCCAGACTGGGCAACAAGAGCGAAACTCCATCTCAAAAAAAAAAGGTGGCCTGGCGCAGTGTCTCGCCTGTAATCCCAGCACTTTGGGAGGCCAAGGCGTGTGTATCACAAGGTCAAGAGATCGAGACCATCCTGGTCAACTTGGTGAAACCCCGTCTCTACTAAAAATACAAAAAATTAGCTGGGTATGGTGGCACGTGCCTGTAATCCCAGCTACTCAGGAGGCTGAGGCAGGAGAATTGCCTGAACCCAGGAGGCAGAGGTTGCGGTGTGGATCACAAGGTCAAGAGATCGAGACCATCCTGGTCAACATGGTGAAACCCCGTCTCTACTAAAAATACAAAAAATTAGCTGGGCATGGTGGCACGTGCCTGTAATCCCAGCTACTCAGGAGGCTGAGGCAGGAGAATTGCCTGAACCCAGGAGGCAGAGGTTGCGGTGAGCCGAGATCGCGCCATTGCACTCCAGCCTGGGTAACAAGAGCGAAACTCCATCTCAAAAAAAAAAAAAAAAAAAAGATTGCATCTCAAAATATTTATATTTTTTGAAACCAAACATTAAAGATTTATTGTATGTAAATTAGATATACATGTAGAAACAATATTATAAATTTTTAAAGAGTGTGCAGAATTTTCAGATCTTATATAATAGATTTCACACTGGGGTCGTTTTTCTTCCCACTCACCCCACATGGATGATACAGCCCCTGGTTTACCTTCTGTAATCTTCCTGAAATTGTGAGCACTCTGCCTATTCCTGGAGTTTGATCTCCCTTCTTAGTTGTTGATGCAGTGCTGCAAACATTTTAGTGTTTAGAGGCTTTCCCTTGGCAAGGGTGTCCCCACATCTGACAGCTGTGATATATCTGGAGATTAAATGATAAGGAGGACAGTCTCATTAATATAAATAGACAGATGACTGCTGTGGTAAAAAGTACTATTGAGTAAAGAGTACAGAGCAAGCAATTTGGGAACTCCCTATTTCTTGATCTCAGCAACCCTATAGGAGAGCTCATTGTGTTTTATAAGAATGGCTGAGGAAGTGGTATTGAATAACCTGTTATTGATTTCCTAGCCGCATCAATGTGATCCTTTTTTCTGGTATTTCTTTATTTTTATTTTTTGAGATGGAATCGCGCTCTGTCACCCTGGCTAGAATGCAGTGGCACAATTTCGGCTCACTGCAACCTCCACCTCCTGGGTTCAAGCAATTCTTCTGCCTTAGCCTCCTGAGTAGCTGGGACTATAGGTGCGAGGCACCATGCCCAGCTAATTTTTGTATTTTTAGTAGAGACAGGGTTTCACCATATTGGTCAGGCTGGTTGTGAACTCCTGATCTCATGATCTGCCCACCTCAGCCTCCCAAAGTGCTAGGATTACAGGCGCTAGCCACTGCGCCCAGCCTTTTCTGTTATTTCTTAAGGCATACTTTTAAAATGTAAAATTGTCCCAAAACATGCCAGGCACAGTGGCTCACACCTGTATAGTTCCAGCACTTTGGGAGGCCTAGGCAGGAAGATCACGAGGTCAGGAGATCAAGACCATCCTGGCGAACATGGTGAAACCCTGTCTCTACTAAAAATACAAAAATTAGCTTGGCATAGTGGTACATTCCTGTAATCCCAGCCACTTGGGATGCTGAGGCAGAAGAATCACTTGAACCCAGGAAGCGGAGGTTATAGTGAGCCAAGATCGCACCACTGCACTCCAGCCTGGCAACAGAGTGAGACTTAGTCTCAAAAAAAAAAAAGCTATTAGCTATTAGAGGTTCTCTATTATAAGTATTAGAGGCTAATCTATTTAGTCAGAAAGGTAAACTTTGTGAATTTGTAGTAACTCATTTTCTCATGGCCAAAAGTGGGAACAGTGGTTTATCCAAGGAATTATACTTGATTTTACATTCTTTTTGTACTATTGTTCTCTCTCATTAATGTAATTAGATTTGGGATATGTTCTGCTTACCAACATTTATTCTATTGTTGGGATCTGGTGCCATATCCATGCCCCACTTCATAGAAATTGCTAAGTAAAAAAATGACACTAGCTTTGCCACTTACTTCCTGTAACACTTTCTTATATTTGTTGACAGTCTGGTTTTAGCCTAAAAGTCATCTCTTTTAGGAAGTTTTCCCTAACCAGTCACCCCAGATTGGGCAGATGCCTCTAGATTAGAGTTCTGTCATCAGTGATTGATCACACTTGATTGTAATTGTTGCACAACTGTTTCATTCAATAGACTGTCAGTTTGTGGAGGGCGGAGATCTTGTGTCTATTGTTCCTCTTTTAATCCCCAGTGCCTGGCATCTCAGAGACATTTGTTGAATGGATTCATGAACGACTGGCTGAATAATGAGCAATTCAGGAAGAAATGCTTTATATTCATAGGTTATTGGATAAGACAGTAGCTCCCTTAAAACACACACTCCATGGCATGTCACAGAACTACAGTCTACAATCAGTGCAAAGAGGTTCAGAATCCAGTAAGAAGGAGAAATATTGTCCCTCTTCTGTTCTTGGAGAAGATATTGTACAAGTGTGGAATTCCCCTGGTGAAATACTCTAAATCGGGAAGAAGACGGTGTGCATATTTGTGTTATTTCCTGTACTGAGGTCAGTGGTGCTGAGAGCAGTGTAGTGCAATGATATAGTGGTTTCGAACCAAGGCTTTGGCCAGGCACAGTGGCTCGTGCCTGTAATCTCAGCACTTTGTGGGGCTGAGGCAGGTGGATCATGAAGTCAGGAGTGGGATACCAGCCTGGCTAAGATGGTAAAACCCTGTCTCTACTAAAAATACAAAAAGTAGCTGGGCATGTTGGTGAGTGCCTATAATCCCAGCTGCTCTGGAGGCTGAGGCAGAGAATTGCTTGAACCCGGGAGGCAGAGGTTTCAGTGAACTGAATGGCACTGCACTCCAGCCTGGGCCACAGAGCCAGACTCCGTCTCACAAAAAAAAAAAAAAAAAGAACCAAGGCTTTGAAGTCAGTGGGTTGTTAAAGCCCTACTCTGGGCGGGGTGTGGTGGCTCACACCTGTAATCCAAGCACTTTGGAGGCCAAGGCGGGCAGATCACCTGAGGTCAGGAGTTAAAGACCACCAGCCTGACCAACATGGTGAAACCCTGTCTTAAAAAAAACAAAAATAGGCCAGGCCTGGTGGCTCTCGCCTATAATCCCAGCACTTTGGGAGGCCAAGGCCTCATGAGGTCAAGAGATCGAGCCCATCCTGGTCAACATGGTGAAACCCTGTCTCTACTAAAAATACAAAAATTAGCTGGGCATGGTGGTGCACGCCTGTAGTCCCAGCTACTCGGGAGGCTGAGGCAGGAGAATGGCTTGAACCCAGGAGGTGGAGGTTGCGGTGAGCCGAGATCACGCCATTGCACTCCAGCCTGGGTAATAAGAGCAAAACTCCGTCTCTAAATAAATAAATAAATAAAGCCCTATTCTGCTACTTATTAGCCCATACTGTGAAGTTTGGACAAATTACTTGACTTCTTGAAACTTGGTTTTCTCATTTGTAAAATGAAGATAATGTTAGCATCTTCATAGATTGTGAGGTTAAATAACAAGTGGTGTGTATAAAGTTCCTGGCCTGAAGGAAATGCTGGGTAAACACATGATGATGATGATGATGATGATGATGATTATTATTATTTTTCTGAGAAAAGAGGGATTATAAAAGACTGGTCCAGCCAGGCTTGGTGGCTCACACCTGTAATCCCAGCACTTTGGGAGGCTGAGGTGGGCAGATCACCTGAGGTCAGGAGTTCGAGACCAGCCTGACCAACATGGAGAAACCCTGTCTCTACTGAAAATATTAAATTAGCCTGGCGGGCCGGGTGCGGTGGCTCACGCCTGTAATCCCAGCACTTAGGGAGGCCGAGGTGGGTGGATCACGAGGTCAAGAGATCGAGACCATCCTGGTCAACATTGTGAAACCCCATCTCTACTAAAAACACAAAAAAATTAGCTGGGTATGGTGGTGTGTGCCTGTAATCCCAGCTACTCAGGAGGCTGAGGCAGGAGAACTGCCTGAACCCAGGAGGCGGAGGTTGTGGTGAGCCAAGATCACGCCATTGCACTCCAGCCTGGGTAACAAGAGCGAAACTCCGTCTCAAAAAAATAAATATAAAATAAAATAAAATTAGCCTGGCATGGTGGCATGTGCCTATAATTCCAGCTACTCAGGAGGCTGAGGCAGGAGAATTGCTTGAACCCAGAAGGCGGAGCTTTTGGTGAGCACTCCAGCCTGGGCATCAAGAGCAAAACTCTGTCTCAAAAAATAAAAAAGACTGGTCTTAGCCAACCTTTTGCCCATGAGGGAAATCTACAAGCTCAGTCCTTATGACGCTGGGGTTTTGGTTCCCAGAGGCCTCAACCACTCCTTTTCCTGTGATCTTGTGGCTGGGATGACAGTGCATCAACAGAGGGTGGGTCACTTCCTGCAGGCTGAGCCCATACTCCATGTGGCAGCAATCTTGGGGGCTTTCTGTCTGGAAAACAAACAGCCTGGCAGTTCAATCCACAGACAGTTTCTCAACTTTCCTCTATATCTTGGAGAGAAGGTGAGAAAAACAAGAACACTTGAATGAGAGGCTGTGCATATACAAGTTGTCTACAAAATCTGTCATTATTTTTTGGTATTATTTGAAGGGAACGTTTATTTTTTTTGAGATGCTCTGTCACCCAGACTGGAATGCAGTGGTGCAGTTATAGTTCACTGCAACCTTGACCTCCTGGGCTCAAAGGATCCTCCCGATTCAGGAGTCTAAAGTGCTAAGATTACAGGTGTGAGCCACCACACCCAGCCATTAACTTTTTTTTTTGAGATGGAGTTTCACTTTTGTTGCCCAGGCTGGAGTGCAATGGCATGATCTCGGCTCATTGCAGCCTTTACCTCCTGGGTTCAAGCCATTCTCCTGCCTCAACCTCCTGAGCAGCTGTGATTACAGGCATGTGCCACCACGCCTGGCTAATTTTGTATTTTTAGTAGAGACAGGGTTTCTCCATGTTGATCAGATCGGTCTTGAACTCTTAAACTCAGGTGATCCACCTACCTCGGCCGCCTAAAGTACTGAGACTATAGGCATGAGCCACCGCACTTAGCCCAGCCATTACATTTAAAATGAAACTTTGTTCGTTATTAAACTTGCCTCTTAAATACGGATTTACCTAACTGTAAAAGTGGCTTGGCTGGTCTCGGTGGCTCATACCTGAGCACTTTGGGAGGCTGAGGCAGGTGGATCACGAAGTAAGGATTTCAAGACCAGCCTGGCCAAGATGGTGAAACTCATCTCTACCAAAAAAACAAAAATTAGCCAGTCGTGGTGGTGGGCACCTGTAATCCCAGCTATTTAGGAGGTTGAGGCAGGAGAATCACTTGAACCTGGGAAGAGGAGGTTGCAGTGAGTTGAGAATGCGCCACTGCACTCCAGCCTGGGCAACAAGAGCAAAACTCTGTCTCAATAAATAAATGAACAAACGAATGAAAAAACAAAACAAAATTTAAGGCCAGGCATGGAGGCTCATGCATGTAATCCCAGCATTTTGGAAGGCTGAGGCAGGTGGATCACTTGAGGTCAGGAGTTCAATGACCAGACTGGCCAATATGGTGAAACCCCAATCTCTACTTTAAAAAATACTTTTAAAAGGTATTGTGGCTCATGCCTGTAATCCCAGCACTTTGGGAGGCCGAGGCAGATGAATCACCTGAGGTTGGGAGTTCGAGACCAGCCTGACCAACATGGAGAAACCTGTCTCTACTAAAAATATAAAATTAGACTGATGTGGTGGCACATGTCTGTAATCCCATCTACTCAGGAGGCTGAGGCAGGAGAATCACTTGAACTGGGGAGACGGAGGTTGCAGTGAGTTGAGATTACACCATTGCACTCCAGCCTGGGCAACAAGAGCAAAACTCTGTCTAAAAAAAAGAAAGAGAGAGAGAGAGAGAGAGAGAGAGAGAGAGAGAGAGAGAGAGAGAGAGAGAGAGAAAGAGAGAGAGAGAGAAAGAAAGAAAAAGAAAGAAAGAAAGAAAGAAAGAAAGAAAGAAAGAAAAAGCAAGCAAGCAAGCAAACTGCAGTAAAGTGTATTTGATAGAATGATACCCTTCCTTCATGTGAGTTAAAAAAAAGTCTTGGTGCTGCTGGGAGTTGCTTGGAGGTTGGCGGCGCGGGACTGGAGGCTAGCAGATGGAGTGATCATGTCGCACAAACAAATTTACTAATCGGCCAAATACGACGACAAGGAGTTTGAGTATCGGCATGTCATGCTGCCCAAAGACATAGCCAAGCTGGTCCCTAAAACCCATTTGATGTCTGTTGGTGTTCAACAGAGTCAGGGTTGGGTCCATGAGCCAGAACCTCACATCTTACTGTTCCGGCGCCCACTACTCAAGAAGCCAAAGAAATGAAGCTGGCAAGCCACTTTTCAGCCTCAAGCTTTACACAGCGGTTCTTACTTCCTAACATCTTTCTGATGACATTATTGTGTTGCCTTCTTGTTTCTCACTTTGATATTTAAAAGATTCAGGGCTGGGCGTGGTGGCTCACGCCTATAATCCCAGCACTTTGGGAGGCCGAGGCGGGTGGATCACGAGGTCAAGAGATCGAGACCATCCTGGTCAACAAGGTGAAACCCCGTCTCTACTAAACATACAAAAATTAGCTGGGTATGGTGGTGGGCGCCTGTAGTCCCAGCTACTCGGGAGGTTGAGGCAGGAGAATTGCGTGAACCCAGAAGGTGGAGGTTGCGGTGAGCCGAGATGGTGCCATTGCACTCCAGTCTGGGTAACAACAGCAAAACTCTGTCTCAAAAAAAAAAGATTCAATACACTGTTTGAATGTGCTGGTAACTGCTTTACTTCCTGAGTAGAACCATTACCACCATAGCCCAGCCTGATGAGTGCTCTGTGGACCCACAGCCTCAGCTGAGTGTGACCCCAGAAGCCACAGTGTGCTGTGTATCCAGAACACATTTGGTAGATGGAAGCATCTGAGATTAAGGGATCATATAAACTTGTCTTTGTTTTCTTCTGCCGGGTGTTGTATGTATGGTGACTTGTGGATTTATGTTTCAGTGTACTGGAAACTTTCCATTTTATTCAAGAAATCTGTTCATGTTATAAACCTTGATTAAAGAGGAAGTTTTTATAATCTAAAAAAAATCTCGATGTATACGTATGTAAAAAATTCATGGAGTTGCACACTTAACATGTGCACTATTTATTGTAAGTTATACTTCAATAAAAGTTTTATTTATTTATTTTTAATTAATTTTTTACTCCCCTCCCCCCAAGTTTTTTCTTAAATCTTCATAAAATGTTGGTGCTGTGTGTGTGTGTGTGTGTGTGTGCGCGTGTGTTAGAATGCAGTAGCTCATACCTGTAATCCCAATACTTTGTGAGGCTGAGGTGGAAGATTACATTAGTTCCAGACCAGCCTAAGTAACGTCACAAGACCCCATCTCTATTAAAAAAAAAAAAAAGAAAAGATCTAGACAGATGAGTAACACATTTTTAACAGTGGTTACTTAAGTTATGCATGAGAAAGTGAAGGAAGATTTTTTCACTTTTTGCTTTATACTCTGTCACTGTCACATAATTTACAGTTTAAATAAGCATATTTTGCGGTGGGGCACGATGGTTCACGCCTGTAATCCCAGCACTTTGGGAGGTCGAGGCGGGTAGATCACGAGGTGAGACCATCCTGGCCATGGTAAAACCCCATCTCTACTAAAACACAAAAAAATTAGCCGGGCGTAGTGGCCCGCGCCTGTAGTCCCAGCTACCCAAGAGGCTAAGGCAGGGGAATCGCTTGAACCGGAGATGGAGGTTGCAGTGAGGTGAGATCGCGCCAGTGCACTCCAGGCTGGTGACAGAGCAAGACTCCTAACAACAACGAAAGCACATTTTGCTTTTGTTATCAACAACAACAAAGAAATAGAAAAAAAGAAATCCTTTGTCTTCTGTGGAGTTCCCTAAATCACTCCATTTATTTCAAGAGCATTCCTGCTGCTTTCACTGGCTCTCTGTGGGAAAAGAAAATGAAGTGAACGCCTACCAAAGTCTTCGAGCAAATTGTGCCTACTACAGATAATGTGATTGCTGATTTCCCTCTAATTTACATTAGGGAAATTGAACTTTTGGTTGAAGTCGGTCTTGTTTAAAGAAGGAAGCAAACGAACTTTAATGCTATGGGCCTAGGATCTTGTCACTTCAGCACTGCTCTCAGGGAAGAACTGGGATCTGGTGGCGTGAGCGGTATCACTTTTCAAATGCCTATTTTTAACGTACCCTAGAAGCATTCCTTTGGAAAGGCTCCTCTTCCAGTAAAAACCAATGGGAAGCAGGCGCCGGGGTCCTGAGAGGCGGAAGCTGGTTTTCAGAGGCCCGAGTCGCGACAGCCAGGCCCCTCCCTGGCCGCCCGCTGCTCCGTTCCGTCCCCGGTGTCCCCGCCAGGGCAGCTGGCGCCCTCCAGCGGGGTAGGGCCCGGACCAACCGGAACAGCGCCCTTCCTCTGCAGCCCGCCCCACTGACGTGCAATCTAGGATCCACGCGGATTTAAAGGGAAGCTGGGCCCAAAGAAGGCAGAATGGCCAAAGAGATGGACATGAAGTGGGGCAGGGAAAGGAGGACACTGTAACAGTTTGCCGGCACACTGTGCCAAGCGTTCATCTTCCAAAACAAGAACAATGTAACTAATGAAAGGTATACGTTCTCCATTGTTCATAAAGGAGGGTACGTTATGTAACAATGTAACTAATGGAAGGTATACGTTCTTCATTAATTCATAAAGCCTTCCTTCATCTTCCAGAACAAGAACAATGTTACTAATGGAAGGTATATGTTCTCCATTAGTTCACCAAGTTTACCTTCTTCCCCCTCCCCCTGCATGAAAAGTTTTTTTTTGTTTGTTTGCTTTGTTTTGTTTTGAGACGAATTCTTGCTCTGTTGCCCAGGTTAGAGTACAGTGGCTCGGTCTCGGTTCACTGCAACCTCCGCCTCCCGGCTGCAAGCGATTCTCCTGCCTCGGCCTCCCCAGTAGCTGGGATTACAGGCACCTGCCACTACGCCCAGCTAATTTTTGTATTTTTAGTAGAGATAGGGTTTCACCATCTTGGCCAGGCCATTCTCAAACTCCTGACCTCAGGTGATCCGACCATCTCAGCCTCCCAAAGTGCTGGGATTACAGACGTGAGCCACTGTGCCAGTCACATTTTTTTTTTTTTTGTAGGCATGGGTCTGGCTATGTTGCTCAGGCTGGACTCCAACTCCTGGAGTCAAATGACTCTCCCACCTCAGCTACTGGCTCTACGTGTACCAGCATTGAGCCCTACCTACTCTTTTTTTCTTTTTTACCTTGGAGACAGTCTCACTTTGTGGTGGAGGCTGGAGTGCAGTGGCCAGATATCAGCTCACTGCAAACTCCGCCTCCCAGGTTCAAGCAATTCTCCTGCCTCAGCCTCCTGAGTAGCTGGGGATTACAGGCTCCTGCTACCAAGACTGGCTAATTTTCTTTCTTTCTTTCTTTTTTTTTTTTAAGACGCCCAGCCTTAGCTTTTTTTTTTTTTAAACAACGGTGGGCTTATGTCACAGAAAGTTATGTTGATGTACTATTTAAATGTTATTTTGGGGGCAGCCGGACGCGGTGGCTCAAGCCTATAATCCCAGCACTTTGGGAGGCCGAGGCGGGTGGATCACGAGGTCAAGAGATCGAGACCATCCTGGTCAACAAGGTGAAACCCCGTCTCTACTAAAAATACAAAAATTAGCTGTGCATGGTGGCGCAGCCTGTATAGTCCCAGCTACTTGGGAGGCTGAGGTAGGAGAATTGCTTGAATCCAGGAGGTGGAGATCGCGCCATTGCACTCCAGCCTGGGTGACAAGAGTGAAACTCCGTCTCAAAAAATAAATAAATAAAAATAAATGCTATTTTTGGAAATACTTATAGGTTCACTGCAAGTAGCAAAAATCGTAGAGAGTTCCAGTGTTCCCTTCATCCATTTTCCCCCAATGGTTACATCTTATATAAGTATAGTACAATGTCAAAACCAGGAAATTGACCAGGTGCAGTGGCTTACACCTGTAAACCCAGCACTTTGGGAAGCTGAGTCAGGTGGATCACTTGAGGTCAGGAGTTCAAAACCAGCCTGCCCAGCAGGGAAACCCAATCCTATATCTACTAAAAATACAAAAAGAAAAAAAAAAAAAAAAGCCAAATGTGGGGGTGCCTACTTGTTGTCCCAGCTACTTGGGAGGTAGAGGTTGCAGTGAGCTGAGATTGCACCACTGCACTGCAAACTGGGTGACAGAGTAAGGCTTCATCTAAAAAAAAAAAATTAGTAAAAAGATGTTGGTTGGTACAATGTGTTTATATAGTTTTATGCAATTTTCTCATATGTACAGACTCCTGTAACCATCACCATAATCAAAATACAGAATTATTCCATCACCACAAAGATCTTCCTCATGTTATCTCTTTATAATCACACGCATACACCCCTATCTCTCTAAGCCCTGGCAATTACTAATGTATTTTCTGTCTATAATTTTGTCATTTTGAGAATGTTATATAAATGGAATCATATAGTATGTGAGCTTTTGAGATTTACTTTTCTTAGTCACATAATTCCCTTTGAAATCCATCTAAATTGTGTGCATCAACATTCATCCCTTTTGTTGCCAAGTAGTATTTCATTCTGCAATGTACTTAAAAAATTTGTTACCAGGCGAGGTGACTCAGGCCTTAATTCCAGCACTTTGGGAGGCCAAGGCGAGTGGATCACCTGAGGTCAGGAGTTCAAGATCAGCTTGGTCAACATGGTAAAACACTGTCTCTACTCAATATACAAAAATTAAACAGGTGTCGGTCGCCTGTAATCTCAGCTACTCGGGAGACTGAAGCAGGGGAATCGCTTGAACCCAGAAGGGGGAGGTTGCAGTGAACCGAGATGGATTCATTGCCCTCCAGCCTGGGTAACAGAGTGAAACTCCGTCTGAAAAAATATAAATAAAGTATAATTTTGTTGCCGGGCATGGTGGCTCATGCTTGTAATCCAAGCACTTTGGGAGGCCGAGGTGGGTGGAACTCAAGATCGGGAGTTCAAGACCAGCCTGGCCAAGATAGTGAAACCTTGTTTCTACTAAAAATACAAAAATTAGCCAGGTGTGGTGGTGGGTGCCTGTAATCCCAGCTACTTGGAAAGCTGAGGCAGAGAATTGCTTGAACCCAGGAGGCGGAGGTTGCATTGAGCTGAGATCATGCCATTGCACTCCAGCCTGGGCAACAGAGTGACATGCTGTCTCAAAAAAAAAAATTGTTTTAGGCTGGGTGCCTGGCCAGCACTTTGGGAGGCCAGGACAGGCAGATCACCTGAGGTCAGAACTTGGAGAGCAGCCTGACCAACCTAGAGAAACCCTGTCTCTACTAAAAATACAAAATTAGCTGGATGTGGTGGCACATGCCTGTAATCCCAGCTACTCAGCAGGCTGAGGCAGGGGAATCATTTGAACCTGGGAGGTAGAGGTTGCAGTGAGCTGAGATCGTGCCATTGCACTCCATACTGGACAACAAGAGTGAAACTCTGTCTTGAAAAAAAAAATTGTAGTAATATAATGAAAATGCTACATTTTTGTTTTATATATCTATATTACTTAGGGGTTCCATCTACAGTGGTAGAATCTCTCAGTAGTTGTCTTTTTGAATACTGGCTTATTTTACTTAGCATGATGTCTTCTAGGTTCATCTATGTTATAGCATGTGTAGAATTTCTTTTTTCTTTTCTTTTTTTTTTTTTTTTAAGACTGAGTTTCGCTGTTGTTACCCAGACTGGAGTGCAATGGCACGATCTTGGCTCACCGCAACCTCCGCCTTCTGGGTTCAAGCATATCTCCTGCCTTAGCCTCCCGAGTAGCTGGGACTACAGGCGCGTACCATCATGCCCAGCTAATTTTTGTATTTTTAGTAGAGACGGGGTTTCACCTCGTTGACCAGGATGGTCTCAATCTCTTGACCTCATGATCCACCCACCTCAGCCTCCCAAAGTGCTGGGATTATAGGCGTGAGCCACCGCACCTGGCCATTTTATTTATTATTATATTTTTAGATGGAGTCTCGCTCTGTCACTCAGGCTGGAGTGCAGTGGTGCAATCTCAGCTCACTGCAACCTCCACCTCCCGAATTTAAGCAATTCTCCTGCCTCAGCCTCCTGAGTAGCTGGGAATACAGGCACCAGCCACCATGCCCGGCTGATTTTTTTTGTAT